TGAAAATCAGTTGATCAAGAATGGTTAATTTGTGATCGATCGACTTCTTTTTTCCTCCTTTTCTTGTCTTTCATCTCACACCTTTCAAGATGAAGATGAAGGTAAATATGAGATGAATAAGGATGAGTAACCCAGAAGGTAAAAGTGATGATTGTTGGTTGAAAGGTATTCTTGTGTTAATATTAGTTTCCTGATGAAAAACTGTTGGGTTAACGTACATTAATAAAATTAAACTAATAACTAAATTAAACAGGGAATAAGCAATCATAAAGTACATAAATGACAAAACCAAATGAAATCCATGTTTAGTCATTAAATAAGACAATGAATTGAACAAGTTTGTTTTTGGTTAAACCTGGCAAAACGTTCATTGTAATTATCATTATTTTCATCATTTTTCATTTTCTTGCATCAAAATCAAATGATAATTAATTCATTATTTTGCACATTCATTAATAAATGAATTTTTTTCTTTGCTTTTTGTTTCGCCGTCTTGTAACGACTTTTTTGCTCAACTTTTTACCCTCTTCATTGAAATGGGAAACATTTTGCTACTCGTTCTTATTGATGGCTTCAATTTTGTTTAATCACTTGTTTATTGTTTGAAATTACTTTTGTCATTATCAGTGAACAATCTATTTCATTGTTCGAACTATGAATGAACCATTTTTTATCGATTCATGTGCTAATCACTTCTATTGTCATTTACATTAATTGCTATTCAATGGCCTCAAGATTATCCATGTTCAAAGAGAATGCAATTTTTTTGAGAATCAAATTGATGAAGGTTCATTCAAAGGGTGACGAAAAGTGATTTTTTATCGCTTCGATTTTCCTTTTTAAACGATTGGAACAATATGTAAAGCTGCAGAAACATCAGTAGAAATGATTAGAGTACTGCATCGAGTTTAATCAAATAATTTTAATGATATAACTTGACTTGGGTTATGGAAATCATACGATAATGCAGCAGAATATCATATTTATGGATCATATTTATGCTATTATGGCAATCGGTTTATTGAATTGGAGACTCGAGTAATACTAGCATAAGGTTTGCATTTGATGCCTTCTTCTCAATGTTTAGATCGAGATGTCTTGTGTTTCGAACAGCAATAAACGATGAAACAGAAGCTAGAAAATTTTATTTCGCTTTGTTCTTTATTGTTTTGCAGGTATGAATATTCACAATCTGAGACATTCTAGAGTTTAACAATGGCCTTTTGAGCTTATTGTCAACTGTCATCACATGAAATATTGTCCCAATGAAAAAATGTGCACAAAAAGGTTGTGGGTTTACCATTGACTTTAAATTCAGAAGTAGCATCAAAAGGTCTCTATGAAGTAAGCTTTTGTGGATGTTAAACTAATTCAAGAGTATCTCGTACTATCGAAAATTAAAATACTTTTGTTACGACTGTTCAATCGACTCAAATTACCGACCAATTTTCTATCTAATGGTTTAATGCCAGCACTAATTCCAGATGAGGTTTAGCAGTTATTTGCCAACGTAAAATATGCTGCATAAAGTATCGTTCTTTACGTTTTTCCAACTTGATTGATTTTAACTTCAGAAGTAGCATCAAAAGGTCTCTATGAAGTAAGCTTTTGTGGATGTTAAACTAATTCAAGAGTAATCTCGTACCATCGAAAATTAAAATACTTTTGTTACGACTGTTCAATCCACTCAAATTATCGACCAATTTTCTTATTAATGGTTTAATGCCAGCACTAATTCCAGATGAGGTTTAGCAGTTATTTGACAACGTAAAATGTGCTGCATAAAGTATCGTTCTTTACGTTTTTCCAACTTGGGATTGAGAAGTTGATTCAATTCTAACGTTAAATTAGCATAATCATCAGTCGAAAATATCAGAACCAAAGATTAATTTGTTTTGAATCTGCCAGTGTTGGTTCTTCGCATTTTGGGCAGATTAAAGTATTATTTGAAGCAACATAAATCACTTTGAACCATACCAACGATCAATTAGTCAACGAAAATACCTTTCAAAAAATTTATTTTGTTAATGTTAAAGGTTACATTTCAGTTTACTTATTCGCATTAGTTTGATGTTTTGCATTTTAAGCTCATTTTAACCTAACCTTTGACTCTGTATTGACTGAGACAAATTGATCATGGGAAGATCACTAATCAGGTAAACTTTTGCAAAGTTGATTCTAATAAACATTGCATTTCAACATTTAAAACACACATTTGTCATTGTTCAACATGTTTGAATAATTCCCGTTGATTGATCAACCTTTTCATATTGATTTACCTTTCCCAATGCTGGTAGCAATATTCAATGTTTTAGCTTGCAAGCGATTCTTTTTCCTACCAACATTACCCTCTACTTTAACCCAAATCAACCCAAAGAGGTTTTAACCTGTCAACACATTTACCTTTAAACCTGTCTTTTGATTTCGTCTTGTGTCAAACTCGAGCAATTTCATCTTATATCAATACATTTTCATATGTATTTGTTTGCATGTTACCAAGCTTCCATGATACCAACCTAATCCAAAATTCATCAATCATTCCCTGAATTTTTCCTTATTTCATTCCTTCTTTGTCTTCCCTTACTCTTTACCTCATCATCTTGCATCGAGCATTATTATTGCATCTTTTATGCTTCAATTGATCAACTTGAAAATTATACTACAGAGAGTTACAGTTGACGATAAAAACATTCAACTTTTATTGATGTAATAATATATTGACAGTTTTTCTTGTTTTTTCACGTTTTTTTCCTGCGTGTTTCCAACCCAAAAGAAGGGAAGAAAACTTGGTTTTTTACTCGTATCATGCTTCAAAGTAATGCTTTCCAACTTAAACATCTTGTTTACTTGATTCATGCAAAGTGCACCAAGACTCAAGATGATTCAAGTACAGGAAAGCATCTTGAAATAACTGTTGAAGGTTTGCAATTAGCATTATTTGCAGAAAAAGATTCAACTGCAAGTCAAGACAGGCAAAGGTTCAAACTCCAAATTTGGGTCATTTCTTGTTCCATAATCTTTTATCCAAGTTCACCATTTAAAATGGCAATTTCAACCCAATGTGAATGTTGTTGAAACTTTTGTTCACACAAATCACATTAAATCGCAAACGATAACAAATTTATGACAACTTTATTTCATGTCAATTCAATACTTTACCCTTCACTGAGCAACATTTTGAGTTAAAAATGAATTGATACTTCAAGGTGCGAGAATGGTTTAAATTTGTAATGAAAATGATTTACCCTTGAAACCAATGGAAGCAACATTTGAATTGGAAAAAAGGTTTCAACACAAAATGGATTGGAAATCAGAATTGGCAGAAACTGCTCTTATTGGTTTACCATTAAATCAACTTAAGATGTTATTCCAATTCTCGATATAATATTTATCCAAGTTATCAATAGTTTTGATCACCTTATCATTTATTGTTCCCAATTTGGCTCGATTTTAATCCAACTTTCATCTAATGCCATAAATTGTTTTCTTTTCTCGCTCAGTTCACAGCAATGTAATTAACTTTCCCTTCAACTCACCATGAACAGGGAACAAAAAATATACTTAAACTCTTGTGGAGATTATCGTTAAAGATGATTCAGCTTTTTATCTAATAATGAAAACCCAAATTCTTATAGTTTCACAAGATAATTGCGGCATTTTTCCTCTTCTCTTTCACTCCCAGTCTTGTCCCTTTTCAAATGATAACTCAATGATAACAGGCTAACGATACAACAATAATCTTAACCACTAATTGTTCAGGATCAATGGAAGGATAAAAAGAATAAAAAGAAAAGAAAAGATTAACCATTAATTAAAGAATTAATTATTCCAACAATTGAATGCTATCACAACTTGTGATTCATTTTCCCTTCTCTTTTCATGGTAAATTCATCCATCGATTAATCAACTGATCAAAGGAAATTTACTTTTTTCCAAGTTTCCCCTTTCACCTGAAAAAGGTTTCGATAACAAAGTTTACTCCAAAATGGTTTATCTTAAAAAGTGAAACAAAATTTTCTTCTTTCAAGAATTTCATTTTCTTTTGCAAATTTCATTGAAGTTGCAAGTTTATCAAGATTCTGTTGAACCATTTTATTCATTTATCGATGAATAAAATTATCTGTTTTTTGCCTCAATCATCATTTTTTGCTGTCCATTCATCTTTACCTTTTGCTGAGTAATTTCAAGTTTAGGTAAACGTTGAGGTTTATGTTTACACAAAATGTTTGCCTTTGTTTCTGTTCATTCTTAACTGATCGGTTTATCATTTTCTGTATCACATTTTCATGTTGTCATGTTAATGCTGAGTGAGGTAAACACCATCATCATCAATCCATGGCATCAATGACTCGACTTTTGGTTTCACTTTTTCATCATCTACATTTTTTCTTCTTCTTTCATTCATTTTCGTCTCTTTGCCTTCATCATCACTTTTCTTCTTCTTCTTTTTTTGTCTTCTTCTCATCAACACTTAGTATCACTCCTTGGAATTGCATGATCTTCTGATGACTTCAACCAATTTCTCAGCAAATTACATCCTTGGATTGTTTATTCATTCCAGTCGAATTGGGTTTTGCCTTATTTATGATTCCAGTTCAAATGTTTTTTTTCTCTTCTTCTCTTCATTAATATTTTCCTCTCATCATTGGCAAACTGATTAATGAGTAAATTGACAGAATAACGTTCGACTTGTATTTATAATAAAAAGTTGCTCTTGAACGAAATGCAATTTTTTTCCTTTTATTCCTCTTCTTTTTCATCTGCTCTCCTCTCATCATTACTCTTTGTTGCAAGTTTGATTGAGTTTTTGCTTTGAATTACGATTCTGTCCAAGAATCAATTTCGACACAAGAATTGCAATTTGCAAGTTTTTTCTTATTCTGACAATATTAACTGAAGGGATTCATTCCCAAGCAAATTGAGACTTTTCGTCCTGAAAATTGAAATCCTTTTGTTTCAGATTTAATCATTTTTTCTCTTCTTTTTCTTCTTTTCCACAGAATTTGAAAATGTTGGCAGAGCCTTTGGTAGAGGTATGGGTAAGCTGAAGATTGAGTTCTCGGTTTTTGCACAAAAGTGTATAAGCTGATCCAGAATCTAATGCAAACCAATTTTGTTCCAGGAATGGGTTATTATCTTGGTGAACCTTGCATTAAACAATGTAATGCAATACTATTTCATATTTACTGTAATATAACAAGTCAAAAATGCGAGTGCCTTCCAGAGTATCCAGTTAACCTTGATAATAGGATTTGTATTAAAGGTAAATATTGCAACCTGAATTTTCTTTGACCTTTTTTAATGTTTTGTTTTATTCACCTCTTAGCCTTAAAATTGGGCGACAAATGTGAAGATCATTTCTCTTGTTCATATCGAGATATTCACGCTATTTGTTCGTCTGAAAATCGTTGTCGATGTGACTATGGATTCTATCCAGTAATAAGTAAATCCGGAGAAACGAGATGCACAGCAGGTTTGTGTTAGCATTTCATTAAGAGTTAGAGATTCAACAGAATCTTTACACTTAACGAACGTTATATTGTATCAACATTTATTCGTCAACTTTTTCAGATTAAACGACATTCTTTGAGCTGCAAAAGAGTAAAAGTTAATGCGTTACAAATCGATATTTTTAATATTCTTTATTCTTTCACTCAAAGCTTCCATAAGCATTGAAAATGAAGACTCTACTAATTAGTTTCAAGACTGAAGTAATTTACTCAAAGCTATGATGCACCAGAAGTTATTTAAATACAAAATGATTACATTTTAAAACTTGAAAGATTTCCGAGTTTTCGCATTTTATGAAAGAAGAGCAATTTGTGCGAAATATGCTTTACAATGCTATGAATTGTCGGAAAATGAAGTTGTTTAACTGTCTAAGTTGATGAAGTTTAATGCAAAATGATGGTTATTCATGTCAACTGAATCTCCGTTTCAAACTTTCATCTTAACCTTTTAATTCTCAGGACTATCCATGTATTATAGTATTGTTGGTTATTCCAATTTTGTGCCATTCGTAGCTATAATTGTTGCTATTATATTTTGTACTGGAGTCGTCTTCATTGGAGTTCGGATGATTGGAAAGTAAGTAACACAATGGCAGCTATTGTCCATAAATGATGGACAAATGTTGATCTTTGGATTGTTTGTCTAAGATCGCAAGAAATCTTAGTTTTCACTGCAATAAATAAGTTTTGGATCTAACATGTAGTGCAATATTTGAAAGTAAATTTTAATTTTATGTTAGGTTTTCCATCATTTTTAGTAGACAGTAGACAGTTGAAGGTTTGTAATAGAAGCAATATAAATGTGCTTTATTATCAGAGCATCCAAGATGTTCAGGGTAGAAATAAAAATGAATTTTATCGTTCAAATTACACACTTTGCTTATTAGCATTTCAATTTTTTACCTTCATCTCTCTAGTGTTCAAATGTAATTTGATACAAAATGAATACATTTACTGTGATTAGAAATTTTTTGAGAGAAATATTGTAAAACGAACTCAATGAACTTCTGAGCTGAAAATTGCTCAATGAGTCGATTCATGTAACTCCATCTGTAGTTGGATAACATCGAAATTTGCAAACCGAAATGTAACTCAGATTCGACTCTTGCATCCTTCGACTGTTGAGTTCAACTTTAGTTCAAACGCAACATCTTTGCTAATTAGTAAAGCTAACGTTAGCTGTCTATTGAACATGTAACATCTGAGTTGCGACTCAAAGCTTGACTGGCTGAAAATTATTCCAAACCTTTATTCTCATCGAATAAGGAAGTTTAAAAAGCGTAATCACAGTAAATTTACGATCATTTTCAATATCTTGTTCCAAAATTGACAGATCACAAGGTGACAGTTCTTTACCAACAAGAGACAGAGCTATATCACCAGTACCTGTTAAACTTGGAGGGTTAGAGCTATTGGCATCCATGTCACGACCTTCCAGCCTACGAAGTGCAAGCAACGAGTATTTGCCCGGCTCAAGGAGACCAAGTTATTCAATGCTGGCGCCGCCAACAAATTATAGTAAGTTGTCAAGCTTCCATAACTTCTTGTATTCATCAATTATTTATCCGTTTTCACCTTTTCTTTCACTCATCCAGTTTCTCGACGACCCAGTTCCTCATCTGGAACATCCTTTCGAAGCTATTCATCTTTCAGAAGCCAATCATCTTTCCGAAATTACCGAGGAAACTATTGCTACAAAGAAACGCTCAAGTACAACACACCGAGAACTCCGTCACCAATCATCAATCCAAGCAATGTTCTGGTTGGTGAACCTCTATCAAAGGTAAAAACAATTTAACAAAAAATGTCTTTTCAATCAATAATAATTTCCTTTTCTCTAAATTCCCAGGAAACTTGTGCTGTTCATTCAAACCCTGAAATCAATCGAAGTGAAAGCAGACGACATCGAGCTCAAGAAGATTGTCTTCGACGATGAAGACCAACTTATCATTTTACTCAATTTTATGCAATAACTCTGCTTATCACAGATGAATCACTGCCTAAAACTTTATAAAGCAAACCTTTAATGAAGATACAAACAATAAAGTAGCCAAAAGAAGATCATTAAATCAGAAAATGTTAAATGCAAATCAGAGTAAAATAGCGATAAACTTGAACAATAATATTTTTTGTAAAATGAACAATAAAGTTAATCGCATTTCAATGTTTCATCGTTTCATTCAAACATCAAGTTAAACTATGAAAATCAACAGCTTTATTAGTTTTCACAGGAACATACAATTTTTGATTGAAATTTTATCATACATTTAGATTCTTGAATTTGGTTTTTCTGTTTGAATCAGAAGAAAGCAATTAAAGTTATTTGAATGAAATTGCAAGATAAATGTGAACGGAAAACGCATTTCACATGAAACAAATTACGATATAACCATGAATGAGTGATAAACATTTTACTCTTTTCATGCCTTTGGCGTCTTCAACTTTTCCTCATTCAGAGCATTATTTCTTTTGGTGAACCCACTGAATGCAGATCTATCAATTTCATCAAAATTTCTTTTACCTACAAACCCATTGAATCCAGAATTGTCAATCTCGTCATAATTCCTTTTATAAAACCCTGTAAACCCAGAGGAGTCAATTTCATCGAAATTTCTTCTTCCTCGAAATCCATTTAAATTTGTTCTATCAATTTCGTCAAAATTTTTCTTGTCCGCATTGTGTGCCAAGCTTGCCAATCGATAGCCAAAGGGTAAGCCCAGTTGTCGAAGGTAATAATGATTATCCCGTTTGCCTCCGGTGAAACCTGTAAAGCTACTTCTGTCTATTTCATCGAAGTTTTTCTTTCCTCGGAATCCAGCCAAACCTGATCTATCGATTTCATCAAAATTTCGTTTTCCATTGAAACCGACAAAAGCGGATCGGTCGATTTCATCGAAATTTCTTTTACCAGCAAAACCAGATAATTCTGATCGATCAATTTCATCAAAGTTGCGTTTACTTGGTGAACCAGTAAACTCTTCGGGCTGCACACTTCTAGCACTGTAAAAGAAAGAAAAGAACAATTAGCATTTTTCAAAAATCGATTTGCTGATCACATTTCAATAGTTCCAGTTGACATAAAATTATTCAGATTGGTTCGAAGATTTAGATTTCGTTCGGAAAATAGTTCAACTTTTCGACACAGGATGCCAGCTCTCAACTGGGAGTGAAAAATCCAATGTCTATTGATAATGATTCTCCATCTATCGGAGAGAATTGGAAATATGGAGTCGAACTTTTTTTCAAATTTCGAATAAAATTTTATCAAATAATGATTATGAATATTGATCAGAATAATCATGACTCGCTTCATAAAGAACATAACTTCTTTAGTCATAGCTAATTTATCTGAACAAAATGGCCAACTATGTTCATCTCGAAACATGGTGAGTTATTCATTTAATATTCAGATAAAAATCAGGAAATAAGTAAATCATAGTCTCTGAATTGATTACTAGCATTTTAGTTCCTACAAATTTTACATGAAAAGTATCTTTTGCTAAGAATTTTTGGCAACAGCTAAGTGAAACTTGTGAAAAAGCGATTCTTGTTAAATTTTCATGAACTTTTTCTTTCCTTGAAATGAAATGAATACAAGGGAAAGAAAAGATAATCGAAAAGAAAGGAAATAAGAAAATGAAGTTTTGATAATAACATGATAAAGAATGATGACAATGAAATTGCATTAAACGAAAAATGACAATTGATAAAACTGTTTGATAATATTCATGAGAGACTTGAAATTTTGGTTCCATTCCTAATTGAATATTTGACGATTTGAATGAAGTAGAAACATTAAGTGACAATGGAATCTGACAAATCATCAAATTCCCGTTAAACAAGTGAAAACAGATGAAAAAATAATTCTCAAGGTAATTAAACGGAAAGAAAATGATTTCCCAAAAAAAAAGAGTAAAGTTTATCACAAAAAGAGTATAATGATAAAGGGAGTGAAATACAAAGTTTTTGTTTGTTTGTTACATTAACAGGGAAAAAATGTAATTCCATTGTAAACGAATTGAGAAATGGAAAAAATTGGAATCAGAATTTTCAAGGTCAACATGTTTACATGAAAATTTAATAACAAACTAAACAATTGGCGAACATTTGAAACAGAAATTGATATTTTCTTCTTTCTTTTTCTTTCCTTTGTTCCTTCGATTCGTCGACTAAAATCTCAATTGTGAAACTCATCTGATTAACAAAAAGCTTCCGAAACTTTACCTATAGCTCATGGAGTGATAAAACCATCCGGAATTGGAAATGTCAAAGTATTGGGAGAAAATTAGAATTGAAATGAACAATAGATTTACATCAGCAGGGAAACTTATCAACTTTACTTTTCCTCTTCAAGATCAATGGACTTGGTGTGTTCATGGTTTCCAATCATAACTGCGATGAAACAAAGAAACTATTTCTTCGTTGTTGGTTAAAAGGCGAAATTATCTGGATTTACCTTAAATGCTGTTTTCCACATTTTCTCATCTTCATCTCTGTTTGGTTCCTCAGAATTGTTTGAAAAAAAAGCAAATGAGTTTGCCTTTTAGTTGAACCTTTCAGTTGAAACGCTCAATGTAAATATGATTGGGTAAACTTGTGGACTATTTGGGCTTAGATTTGCTTCTATTAATATTTACATTATTATACATTAAAATTATTATAAAAATGTTGTGATGCAAGAAAAGTTTCAAAAGATGAAGTGAAAACAAATTATTGCTACAACATTGAGATGCTGATGGAATAATTAATGTTGCCTTAGTTTGCTTGGTAAACTTTTATTTACTTTCAACTTTGGATAAGATTAATTCTTGTTGGTAAAAATTCATAGTTGATTAGTAAATAGTTAGATTCATGTTAAGCTTGCTAATTTTGAGTTCACATCGTATGGATTGGCGAGGACAAATATGTAAACTTGATAATTCCTTGATCAACTCCGATCAATTTTTACAGTTGATTTTGAATAACTTTGTTAATCGCAATTCAGGATTTGATGAGTTAAATGTTCCAAATTCATATTGATTTATACTCAACATTCACTTATAAGCTTAACTCATTAGATTTTTCCAGTAAAAACATTCACTTCGATATTGTGACAAGAATTTAATTTGATGAAAAAGAGTTAACGTGAAAAATATCGTAAAAGGTTGTTTCTGTTAATCGCTATCGTTCTGCTCATTTCATTTGATTTACATAAAATGCGAACCAAATGAGATAATTCAGTGAATGTTTGGTCAATAATTTTCTTTTCATGCAAAACTCCAGTTCTGTATAATCAATGCTTTGTAAGTCATGGCGAAGTTTCATCTCTTAGTTTGAAAAGCCTAACTTGGCGAGATTGAATCAAACGAAATAGTCTGAGCATTTTCCAGATTAGATTTGAATGATGAGTAAAATTGAAAATTGCAAGTTCTTTGAATCTGCTTTTTCTCTATGAATATTTTTATCGACTGAAACTTTTACATTTTCGATTGATTATTTTTCGCTGAAAAATAAAAATTAGATTACCTTCGTTTTGAAGAACCGACAACCCAGCCTGACATTGAGTCGGGTCCAGCTCGTTTAGATTTGCTTTGAGTTGAACTTTCCTTCAATTGGTTCCATCTTGAAGCCAAATCTTTTTCGGCCACATTGTTTAAGCTCGAACTAACCTGTCCTTTTGATTGTTTCTCAACCATTCTAAGAACTTCAATACCCGAAAGTCCAATCAGGTCAACCTTGTCCATAGTTGAGTCTATGAAGGAGAAGAAAAAGACGAGCAAAAGTTTAAAATGATTCATTATTTTGATAAAGTTTTCCTTTTCCCAATGAAAGTCAAACAAACACTTTAGTTGTTTGATTAAACTTGACTCGATACAAAATAAACTTGAAATTCAGTGCAACTTGAATACTTTCAATGGTCATCTTGACACTCAATTAATGGTCAAGTTGAGTAGAAATAAGAGTAAATACGATGAAACAAATGATAATGATGTGCAACATTTTATTGGTCAATCTCTTTTTATTATTTTTCTGGTCTTCTTGTGCTACCCTGAGAAGAGGAACAAATGGAAAGGAATAAAATCTATCGATGAAGAGATTACCACAAACGAACAATTTACTTATTCAATTATCATCCTTTGTTTTTGCGCTAATTTCAGATTCTTTATTGAATCTAAAGTTGACCTTTTCTCATCTGACCATTATCAATATAAAGAATATGATTGACTGAGAATGCAAACTTATTCAACAGATTTTTTCATTTCTTTTATTTTACGATTTGTAAGGTTCGGTTCAATCAGACTTTTCTTACCTTTCATGGAATGAATTATCTTATTGATCAATCCTTTGGTTGGTGGATCAAGAAGTTTGATAATCTGTTTACCTGGAATTGAATCAAGAGTACCATTTTGGACCAATTCATCAATAAATTGTTTACCAGTTCGATGGGAAGAAGGAGTTGATAAAGTTGAAGGTAAAAGTGATGAAGATGAAGTCACTTCATTTTCCTGGTTGGTTTGAAAGATGAAAGAAGATGGAAGAAGATGAAAAGCAGAAGAAAGTATTATAAAGTGAAACAATAGGATTACAGATTAGTGATTAAAGTTTTCAATTGTTAAAGTTGCTCAACACAAATCTTTTTGCTAATTCCCGTTTAAGTTGACTCGTTAAAGGTAGACTTCAATTGTTGTAGGTAAAGAAAGTCGAGTCTAATTGGCAATTAGAAAGGTTAAAAATGTTGACTTTGGTTTTCAAGGTATTCAAGAAAAGATTACCTCTGAGTCATTGAAACTCTTCATGATCATCTTAAGCTGAACTTTTGTGATAAAAAGAGTAATATATTGTATTTGAACCATTTTCGCGTTACTACATTAGCTAAAGATACTTTTGATGGTTCAAGTTTGAGTAACCAATACTAAAGCCAATCTATTGCAGCTTATTAACATATAAACAAATCTGTTTTTAAGAATAAATGATTTGATCATTTTTCCAAGTTGATTATGATGACATGTAAACATGAAATTAAATCAAATTTTGATTCTGTTGAATGGCTATGCGTGCTGTTTTGGCTCATAATACAGCAATTCTCATTTAGACTCTGCATGCAGATTAAAATGCATCGAAGGGGAAAAAGTTATTAAAATATTTCTCGTGATCAAATCGAACTGAATCTATTGAAAGGAGTCAACGCAAAAACTTTTATTTGTTTCATGATATACTTAAAATATGTGTTTTACAAGCGAAAATTTAAGCCAACAGTTTCCTTGTCATTTTATTTATAAAAATGATAACTTCAATAATTGTGTTTCCTCATAAACTAGTTTCTATTATTCCATCAATAGAGCTAGAACAATCTGAATCTTGTGATCTTATAATCTTATAGATGCGATTGAACAGTTAAATTAAAACATTTGCATCTTTTCAACTCCTCTTGACTTGATAAAATGAATCAAACTTTAATGCTTGAAAATTACATTTAACAAATATGTCTGCGAATTTCAATTAAAATCAAAAAAATATAAATATCATGAGTCTTTTTGAACTACGGAAAGTCTTTTCACTCTTTTAATACTCTATTCTGAAGCATTCTTATTAATCCATCTTTCCATTTGATATGACAAGTTAATCACTAAACAAATTTACATTTCCTTGAAAGACTATTAAGAGCAAGAATTGAAACCTTTAAATGTTCAATTTCAAATCAACTAAAAAGGTTTATCAATTATTTGATAGCGATTCTGAAATTCAGTAAACATCACAGCAGCAACAGATTCTGTATCAAGACTTTATCCAATCACGTTATTATCTTAAACAAAATACAATTTGAAATCAATTCGTATTATTTTCACCCATTCTGTTGATTCCATTGTTATTCTGGACAGCAGGAAATGAAAGTTTCCTGAACTTTTTAGCTCTCTCTTTCTCTCTCTGTAGAGTTCAATTTTTCCTCAACTTTTTTTTCTTGCTTCTTGTGTCAGTTTGACATTACTTGATGGAATTGATGAAAATAATTATATTGAGTAACTTCAATTGATACACTGAAGATCCCAATCCAACCTCACCCAATTCATCAGAATAATTTGTATTCCATCAAAGTTCTGGAATTTGGCAAGAAACAAAAAATAATTGGAACAAATTCATTTTTTGTTTTCTCCATTATTTTTCTTTTCACCAAAAACAACAATAAAAGTTTAAATACAAGATAAAGTTCAGTTGAATTTCGAGTTTTTCTTTGTTACAATAATTGTTTTCACTTAATCCAACTTGGGCAGAAGAAGGTTCGAACAGAAAAAAAACTGTAAACTAACAGATCTTTACAGAACTTTACAGAACATTCAATCGAAATTTTCGTAAACCACTTTTTCTTCTTTAAAGAAACTCGAGTGAATCATGTTTCAATATGAAATATTGAGTGTCTTCAAGTGAAGAAGAGTACAAAAAATCGAAATGTTTTGAATCTCTAAAGATTTGGTGCAACATAAAAGATGAAGATAAACAAATAATGACGCTAAGAACAATTTAAATATCAATTCACTCAAGAACATGACAAACAAGAGAAAGTATGAAACTTGAAAAAAAGAAGACGAAAATACAAGAATTATCTCATGAAAAAGATTGTCATGAAAAAAGTGAGAATAACCATGCATTTTGGATTCTTCAATTTTCCATTGAAAAAGTTTTTCCATCATTACATGAGGAAACAAGAGTAAAGTTAATCAACAAAAATATCGAGTCTCATTACTGGTAAAATTGTTGATCCTCAGATGGTTATCATTATCATTCCCAGTTTGAAACTCCCTGATGGAACAAAATAATTCAATGTTTTCTTGTTTGTTTAAAAATGCTTTACCTGTGTTGGTACAAACAGAGCAACTTATCATTTGCAAAGAAAAAAATTCTTCAATTGAATATCTTTTTTTCTTCTTCTTCTCAGTTTACCTTTTTTTCAGCGAAAATAATATTTCATGTAATTTTACAACAAATGAAGAAAAGGTTTACTCAACAAAATTTCAACTCAATTTAGTTTCATACTTTTGTTTCTTGGATAACAATGATAATTATAATTTAATCAATTCTCATGAGTTTATTGCTTTACATGGCTTTAATCAGTTGATTGTTAACAAGGCCTGATAAGATTAGTGTTTTGTTCACCAATAATGTTTTGTTTCATGTTCAATATTTGTTATAATAGCTTGTTATTAATGACGATGATAACATTGAAAATTATCATCACTCCAAGCTTTTAATTACTCTTTTTGTCTTCAATGTCGACTGATTTGGTTTACCCTTTTTTATGGTCATGATGCACTTCCGACTGATTATTGTTGGGAGAAAAGTTTTTCATCAATTCTGAGGGGCTTAGAATTTACTTTGACATTTTTATGATAGTGATCAAGATAAAGATTCTGTTTAAATATTATGTGATAAAAAACTAAATACTTGGAGTAAATAAAGGAACAGACGGAGATGCAAGTTGATTCACATGAAAGGGAAGAAAAAATTGGATGTTTACTGTTCATTTTAGGATAAACAGGAGTGATGGTGAAAAAAATGAACACGATTTTCCAAGTTCCAAGTGTTGAGCTTTTTTTATTCATTCCAATGCCAGTCTGTGTTTCAATGGATCACAAATCTGGATTAGTTGGCTATCATTAGTTGGATTAGTTGAGATTTAAAGTAAGCATTGATCGAGTAGACTAATGAGTGGATTCAGTTGAAACTTTTCAAGTAAAATTCACAATTCTGTCTACTCTTGATCTATACTTTTCAGAATTTTCTGCAAATTTTGTGAATCTTTTTTTGTAGACGTTTGAGATGTTTACTGATTTGTTTTTTGCTTTCATTTTTTTTCTCAAGTTTTTTGTTAGTCTGGACTAAAGTGATTATGATTCAATGAATGGGATTCTTTTCATGACAAGTGAATGTGAATATGATCATGTCCATTATAGTAAACAAGTGCTGTGAATAGATAGGAACTCAATAAAATGGAAACTTTGGATTAGAAGCGGAAAGTGAATGGATATTTTTATTAAGAAATGCTTCTGCTTCTTTTGACTCGAGATATGCTTATTGTAAATCAGTTAATCCTATTATCAAACTGATTCCAGTGTTCATTCTGAATCTTTAAATTACATTCAAATTCGTTATCTTTAATTCAAAAATAACTCTTTTATTAGTTTATTATTACTGGAATCGCCGATACAGAAAGCTTTATAACTAAAATAAAACATTGTATAAAGAAATTCATTGCAAGAAAATAACAATTTTTGCTTCTTTGGAGTTTTTTAATGAAAGCAGATTGAAGCAGATGAAATCAGTATTCAAAGTGTAAGAATAATTCCATGCATCTGTTGTGAAAGTTTGATAGATTCATAAGAATTGGTAATTTCTGACTCGAGCGAGCTTTACTCTCAATTCAACGAGAATTTCAAATATATAATTTTTGTCTACCTATATATTATTACTTTTGGCATGCGATAATTTACACCATGCATATCAACAATATTGATAAAACGAGCATGGCGTACTCGAAACATTTTTGACCTGATGTAAAGCTTCTTGAAAATTTGTGTAGGTTATATGAAAAGATTGATGACTTTTTGTAATGAATATTTTTAATATATTGAATGAATGAAAAACGCGCAGTTCTCAACGCCATCGATTGTATACTTTTAACACAAATTAACTTTTCGTGAAGCAGAGATTACAATGAGAGGAATATTTACCTAAAGCTAACTTTAATTTGTTTCCAATGAACATTCACGTAAACGAGGAAATATGAATAGAGATAGCGAGTTCGAACCACTGATTAAAACAAATAATAATTATATCGTTGAAGTATTATTGGATTTCAAGAAGTAAGTCTCTAGGTAAGAAAATTAGGTCTAGTTACACGGACACAAGGATTGTTAATTTAACTAATTGTCTTGATTGGATACTGATTTAAAAGTCTTGCTAAAGTCTTGTCCGTCTAACTAGACTGTAACCGAAAATTATTAAAATGAAACAAATTTTACAATTATTACACTTTATTTTGAGGTTAGTTTGTCAATTGTTTGCAATATGTACTCTTTCTATGATTTCATTGAATCAAACAATGGAAAACCTTTAATCAAATTTGATAATTAGTTGTTTAGTAAACATTCATCAACATCAACAACTATATATTATAAATGTGTCAAATGCAAAGCTCGTGCAAATCTCACTAATGGTATATTCAAATTGACTGGTCAACACAATCATGAAGCTGACATCAGCGAAATATGGAATGGTTACTTCTTATACTGCGGAAAATACTGAGGAAAATCAAGTTCCGAAAACTATCGGAAGACTAATTGCTTAACCACATCTTAAAATTGATGATATCGATGAAGTGTTTGAAACAATTATTGCTGAAGCGCCTGACACAGAATCTATGGATAAATTTCTTACATATTTCTACAAAGTTGATGCTCGTTTCTTAAGACAGATTTGGAGTGTTTACGGATTGAATGGCCCTGTAACTAAT